AGTTTGGCAAGTGGTTGAAGGCAATCTTTGGCAAGTACACCTATGCAGCTGACAGAGCATATGAGACACAGCTTGAGCAGCGTCATCAGCGTGGACAGGACCTTCCACCACTTCCTCCTATTCCACCTCCTCCACAGTATGACCTTCCGAGTCTCTCCGACACAGATTCAGATGATAAGGAGGAGGAGCAGGGACGAGCAACAGATTGGGATGAGACCCTGGAGGGATACCGTCAAAGACAGGAGCCGAGGCGTTCCACTCGCTACACCGCCACTACTCACCGTTAGGGCCGTGCATGTATTGACTCCGACGACGATGATGGTGATGGTGGTGTCGGGACTGCTGCAGGAGGTGCTAGGGCTACAGGAGGTGATGATATTGATTGGACAGACATCTAGGGAGATGATGAGTAGGTGTTGATCTTTCTTCTTTTCTTCTATTTTTGGTGCTTTATGCCAAAGGGGGGATTAGAGGGGTCAATAACTTTTTCGACGCCATAGAGGTTGCTGTGTTCGTATCTGTTTAGAATAGTCTTCGTTAGGTGAGAGTTTGAGTCTATTAGAAACTCTATTTATGTAATAATGCTACTTAAGTACTTTATATATGGTTGGGATATGGATAAATATTAATCTATGATGTCGCTTGTGATACATTTGTGCTAGAATGTATATCTTTATATGTATCACATGATGTGTGGTGTCTGTTCTGATCTGTGCTGTTACAGCAAGTGCAAAAGTGCCACACCCAGCTACAACAGCAAACCATGTTGTGCATAAACTGTCATTTGCATCATGTTTTACATACTTGACACAGTATGCAGCACCCCACAGGAGCATGGATGTAGGGGGAGCCCCATCACTTTCACTAAAATGTGAATCTTGGCTTCTTATACCAATTTGAGAATTCAATTCTCTATTCACATACTTAGAGGGAGGCTCTACACCCATGGCTCGAAAAGTCTCAGTATTTATTTCATATCTTTTGTAGGCTCTAATTGGGTTGTCATCAATCACCAAAAAGGGGGAAATTGAAAGTGCAATCAAGCCTTAATTGTGGGTTTTGGTGATAATGACCACGCAATTGGAGAACTAATGAAATTTATCGAGATGACAAGCAGGGAATTTTATATTCGAGGATGCTATACGAAACGGAGGAGCCCTCAATTACAAATATAGATGGCTTCAAACTCAAAAGAGGTTTAAGATTCTTTTATATCTTGAATTTGAGTATAGGAAGAGCTGTATTATAAAGGGGGACACGATGCTTAAGCTAATATGTGCTACCAAGTGCTCAAACAACCACAAGCATCCTCAGATTCATAGCCAAGACAGTCTACACTTCACTATTACCCATGCTGTCTTGCGTGGTGTGGCACTGTCGCACTTAAAGAGAGGCACTGATGCACTTGAGTCGTGGCACAAGGAAGTTAGCGCTTCCCCAGATGGCTCGAGATGTATTAAACGGTCTCGCCCGACCCCTTGGGCGCGGGATCCGCCTCGCCCGACCCTAAGGTCGTGGGATCCATCTCGCTCGACCCCTTGGTGCGGGCTCCGTCTCGCTCGACCCTAAGGTCGCGGGATCCGTCTCGCCCGACCCCAAAGTCGCGGGCTCCATCTCGCCCGACCTCTAGGCCACGGGCTCCGTCTCGCCCGACCTCGAGGCCGCGGGCTTCGTCTTGCCCGACCCCTTGAGTGTGGTGACTGTTGAGGGTTAGGGGTATATATACCTTTCCCTTTCCTCCCCAACGGCAATCTACGATTTAAGTGGCCGTTGGGGGATGGTGGGTATATATATATATATCTTTCCCCTTCCTTCCCAATGGTCACCTGGCTCTTCTTCCTCACTTGAGCACATCCAAAGCAGAGCAGGAGCTCTCTCTCTCTCCTTCCATTGTTGACCTCAAGCCCTCAAGCAAATCCATTGATTTCCCCATCAATCCTTGAGGAAAAAGGGTCACAAACTCGATTAGAGAGTAGTTCCACTGATTTCACAACTCTAAAGAGCACTTGGTTCATGTTTTGGCCGACGGTTGTGTTTGTTACTCTTAGAGCTTGGCTCCTAGCCGGCTAGAGCATCGCCCGTGGAGCTTGCCAACTTGTGTGGTAGCCCCAGGAGGTTTGTAACCATCTCTTGATTCTTGAAGCTAGTTGTCGGTGTTTCGTACAAGCACCGGCAGGTAAATTTATAGTAATGCGCGTTAGGCTCGGATGGTGCGCTAAAGGACACAAGATTTATACTAGTTCGGGCCGAAAGTCCCTACGTCCAGTTTGTTGCTGCTCGTGTTATTAGCACCGTGAACGGTTTGTAGTAAGGGGTACAAATGATCGAGAGAGGGACTGGTCCCAAGTCTCTGATGGAAGGGTTGAAGGGATGTCAAGAGGTTCGACACAACTTGACTGTGTGTATCTGTGAGTCGTATTGTTCGATCTTTTTTCTCCCCCCCCCTTTTATGGAGGAAGCGCATCCCCTTTTATAGATGAAGGGGTTGGCTTTACAAGGGTGAGGGCTTTAGGATGCGTACTCTACTTAGTCTTGTGGCTCACGTCTACCCGGCCTGGTTCTTCATTCTGATGAGTGCGAAGGAAGATAAGCGCCTACCATACTGTCGATGTCTCTGTAGAATGTCAGGTTGGTTATAGAATGCTACCCTGCGCAGGGTATGGGCCGCAGTACAGTGGTTTTGACTTTTGAGCCTCCCCCAGCCTTGCTCTCGCACGCTACGGTTCCTATGAGTCTTCGCTCGGAGGGACGTGGGGTCGGGAGTGGAGTAGCGCCGTGGGCAAGGTCTTCTGTCTTGATGGACCGAGGGTCGGGAAGCGGCGCCGCTCCCTTGGGTCCTGGCGTGGTGACGGAATATCCGCTGCTCGTGGAGATAGCAAATCCTTTTCTCGGAGCGTAGTGGTTGTCGATATCTTCATCGGGTTCCGTGTCCCAGAGTCAAGGCGGCGCCTACAACTCTACAGGATGGAGAGCTCGCACCTATGACACCTTTCGGGCTCTGCAGGGCGCTGGAAGGGCCTAAAGCGCCTCATTCCGTCATCCCTTGGCAGTAGATTTTTCCCGCCAGTGTGTGGTATGGCTCTTGGAGCCACGGTTGACTGAACGTCTTGTCTTGCCCTGTCTCTATCATCTTGAAGGAACAGGGAGAAGTGGTCAGGTAAGATGAATCCAATCTTTAGATACGGAGCAGAGTGAGGCTTGTTCCTTGCCGTCGGGCGAAGCGGAGACCAATCCCTATCTCCCGGGCGAGACCGACCCTGCTCCTCCGGGGTCGGGCGAGGCGGAGTCTATCCCTCAGCCCTCGGGCGAGACCGAGCCCGCCCTAAAGGCGTCGGGCGAGATGGAGACTAGCCCTGGGCCCTCGGGCGAGACCGAGCCCACCCCAAAGGCGTCGGGCGAGGTGGAACCAAGCTCCTGTCATTCCCGTGAGGGGTGAAGCAACGCTCTTATGCGTCTAGAAGTTTTTAACGTTCGGTGGTTATTGGTTCCACCTTCTGGGGTACCCCGGTATTAGGTCACCGACACTAGTAAACTCACCTCTCATCTCAAGAGTTAAGTCTCTTGACTTGAGAACGAGGAAGGGCTAGAAAGCTCTAAGCCTTAGTGGCTAACCTCAACAACGTGGAGGTAGGCAAGCATTGGTGGTGAACCAAACCACGGGATAAATCATTGTGTCACTTGTGCTTGATTTACATTACTGGCATGACATATTGTGGTTGAGCTGATTTCTAAGTTTTTTTAGTCGATCTACTCGTGTGTGATGTTTCTACCACTTCTAGCTCTTGATCTATGATTGTCAAACCTGCAGTAAGCCAGGAAATTTCTCCGATCTAAGTTTTCGTTCACGAATTTTGAACTGTGACTCAAAGTTGTCTGCAGAGCAGTGCCGCTGTTCTGGTCCGGCAGTGCCGCAGTTCGGCAATGTCGCCCTCTAGAACGGCAGTGCCGCAGGGTGAATTTGATAAAAGTTTGAGTGTTTGTTTTGACAGGCCTATTCACCCCCTCTAGGCCAACCAGAGATCCTACAGCGTCGCATATCACTTGAAAAATAAATTCGTTGAATCTAAGAAAAAATCTAGAAAAATACATGTACCAACTTAAGAACTTAAACCCTGATTAAAAAATGTAAGCTGTATATAAAGGGTTCATTAGAGGCTAAGCTAACATAAGCGTCGTGCGATCACGGGTTTGTTAGACGAGTTTTTTAGAATTTGTTTGCCATAGCCGAGAGCACACTACAAATCAACAATTTTAAGAGAATAATGTTCATCTTACTTGTGTTTGCTGCGTTCCACACCACTTCCAAGTGCTACAATAAATGCATATAGTACTTCAAGCATTACTGTATTGCGAAACTTGAATAGGGAAAAAGGTCAGAAGTACTTGTTTGAAGGAGACTACAAATAATTATGAAATCCAGAGACCATTTACTCCACCCCCAGATTGCAAATAGGAGTGTAATACATACTCAAGGAATTAATCAATGTTGATTTCATGACACACATGTAATGCCTACAGGCGGATTAAATCACACAAGAAAACGATATTTCAACATTTCAATACTTTATGAAGCACACAAAGTTTCTGTATATATATAAAATAAAGTCACACACTTGCATACATCGTATATAAGCAGTGATCTCTCTTGATACAAGGTAATTCAAAAACCCATCACCCAATCAAGAAAAGCAGTATATATAGAGGAGTACGGCGGTAGACACTACGTAAAACCCTAGATATCTACCACACGACGTCTCACACGAACTAACCTTAGCTGACATCGTCGTCTTCCTCTCGCTTTTGCACCGCCAGAGGTAGCATCCATCCAACGCCAACATCACAGTCACACTACGGACAACTCGACCGACCATGGCTCGAGCGTCACATCTTTTCTTCCATTATTTTTCTACCTTTAGCACGCATTTAATTTTCCCAACCAAAGAAATAATATTGGCGGGGAAATATTATGGAATACCAAGCACGGCAGTCCTCCTGCTGTCCTACAGACGGAGGAGGCCGCGGATGCCGTCGGCGGTGGCGGCCTCCACGTTGCTGAACGGCGCGGCCGGCGCCACCAATCTGGTGTCCCTGGCAGGGGACGCTTTCACGACGAGGGAGAAGCTGGGCAGCGGCAGGCTGCTTGGCGGCGGCGCCAGCACGTGCAGCAGGTCCTGAACGAAGTTCCTGGCCACCTCCTGCTCGAGGTCGTCCAGTGCCTCCGTCACCACTGGCGCGGGCGGCAGAGGCGTCGCCCGCTCCAGCGGCTTCTTCTTCTGCGGTGCGGACCTCTCCATCGTCGGCGGCGGCGGCCTTGCCGGCCTCCTCCTCCTGTCCCTCTGGCGCGGCGGCGCAGGGGCTGGTGCTGCTGCTGCTGAAACTGTGGTGGTTGCCGCTGCTGCCCTGCCGGCGGCGCGTGGCGCCGGCGGTGGTGGGGGTGGAGCTGCTGGTAGGCCGGGGAAAGTGGCGTACTTGGTGGCGATGGGTGGGAGCGGCAGGAGCGGCGGTTGGTTGGACGGCAAGAGAGGAAGAGATGGCGACGAGTATATCATCGGAGTCGGAGACCTCGCGTATGGAAGCGCGGGAGCGGAGGTCCAAGCGCCACCTTTCTGCAGGTGATTGTATGGCTGCCACGTCGGGAAGGAGCTGTAGGAGCCGCCGCCCGGCACCACCGGCCTCGCGCCAGCTGGCCCCCGCCGGCTGCGACCAAGGAACCTCTTCGGGAACTCAAGGCTTCTGCTAGATGATCGATCCAGGAGAACGTTTTCCATCTTGTTTTTGTTGATCTATAGGACAAAAGCTTGTTAGGTAGTCTTCGCGCTATTTTGCTCAAAAGACTGGTTTTCGATACTGATTGCGGAATGGAAAAGGAAGTATAAAAGGAGAATTCAGATGGTTAAGGTTGAGAGAACTTGTATTAGTTTGAGTGAAATAATTTGCAGGAGAAGAGAGCTAGCAAAATCCTTGGGGAAGAGAAAACAGCAAGGATGCTAGGATCGGTGGAAGGCGAGTTTAGATCGAAGAAGAAAGAAAAACAAAGAAAAAGGAAGAACGAAGGAAAACCAAAGAGGAAGAACGAAGCTAGATGTTATCTTCCTCCTGCTATCTAGTGTAGAGAGCGAGGGGATGGCCTTATGCACAAAGCCCACCCTCCACCTCCGGGCTACAGCTCGGTGGCATGCAATGCTCCTCTTTATAACAAGAGGAGAAGGTCGAGAGGTGGGTTAGGTGTCACACCGTCTAACGTTTGGGGGAAATGTATGGGAGGGGATTTGACAATTGACCACAAACTACCGCGCCCTAGCTCGGTTCCTTCTCTACCACTAATGGCAGATTTGCACGTGTCGATTATCTCCTAGGGTAATTTAAACATAACTTTTGGTGTGATGCCCCTTGAGAGAATGGTATTTTGTTCTTTGCCAGTTGTGAGTATTGTTCTCAAGAATACTAGCTACCACAGCCTACCACTCAGGGGAAAAGATAACCAAGTATAATGCTTCTCTTTCCTTTTTGAGGAAGCAAGTATACTCTCAAATTACAAGCAATTAAGTAATGTTTCAAGTTGTCTTTAAGTCAACTATTCTAAATTTTGGTTACAATTTCTTTTTATCTTAAGTTTGGAGTGTTTGAAAATGATTTGAGTATCTCAAAATGCATTTTCGTAGCAGTATAATTTTGCCATATTTTCAAATATTGCAACAAAAATTACTAATCAAAACTGTATTTCAAATACTTCATGCATAACTTTTTTCACTTATCTATATTTCAGGTGTTTGATTTTTTGTTGTTGTCTAGACAATTTTGTCATTGTTTGACTATAAAAAAATGTGAATTGTCTCTTCTAAGTTGTTTAAGATTATCACAAAAATTGAAGCACCTTAAATATAGCAACTCTCTAGCCTTTTTTTTAGAAAAAATGCATTACTTATATGTAATTCATTTTAACTCTAGTAATGTAAACCTTTTGATTTGTAAGTAACCATATATCTCAATGATTTGAGCTTCCTCATAACTTCTGATGATTGTAAAGCAAGTATGTTTTATAGGAAAGCATAAATGGCCACATGGTCAATGCCTATGGCCTAGACCTTATTTTCATTGATTACTTCATCCATAAAAGAATACGGTTCTAGCATAATACCTAGTCAAAAAATATCTTCAGTTGGACCAAATTTATACAATAAGGTATTGATATTTATGATATCAAATACGTACCATTGGAATCATTATGGAATATCGTATAACTAGCTCCAACCAAAGCACGTCAAGGCGATCCAGGAATTGTTCCGCGTCGAGCAAGAACATGCTGACTCTGGCAAACAGGCACATGGAGATGTCGGTGTGTGATATACCGCATCCGTGCCGAGACACTGAGTTGTTTAGTTTTGCGAGTAATTCCGTTTTGTTCCGGCGCTAGGTAAGCGTGTGGTGTAGCCCAAGCTCCGTAACTTCAGCAATGAATTCTTTGGCTTGCATAGTGTAATTTCAAACTCTTTCTACCTAAATACAAAACGCGTAACTCTCTATATGTTTTCGAAAAAAGATATTATTTTTCATATATAATGTACCTAAATATTGATATCTTTTTATAAATTTGGTTAAACTTCTAAAGTGTTTAACTAATGAGAGAACTAGAGTTACATCTTTCCCGGATGGAGGTAATACCTCAGGATGTGGGTTAACGTTGTAGCAGGTTAACAACTAACAATCGCCACCAGTATTCTTTGAGAAATGGGAGTATGGACTAAATTAATAATGCAAGTGGGGTGGTTCTGCAAAACAAAAATGCCGACAGGCACCGCACAGTTTAGAGGCCATGCCAGCCGCAGACTTGGAGAGGGAAAAAAACAGCATGGTGTAATAACATCGATGTTTCACAAAACCTGGAGTATTTCTATGACAGTGGGCCTCGACGAAGACGGCGGTCCCACAGGGCAGTGAGCACGGCACATGCAGCGCCACAAAGATCTCACGGCCCGATTAGGTTCCCACTGTAGTGCGAATCTGGAGGACAGGGACCGACTGCGCGTAGGCCGGCAACCGCCAAACCGACGCCAGCCGCCGGATGGGGATTCTGGCAGGTGCCGCTGGGCCGCATCGGGCCGTCCGTCGGTTTCGGCGCTTTGAACGCCGTGCGGGGACTCGCGGAAAGCGACGCCGCCTTGCTTTCCTCCGTCCTTTTTGCCGGGTCCACCGGCCGGCGCCTGGCGCAACACGCGGGGTTTTTGCTCTCTTTGGGCCTGTTTGTTCCATGGGACTATAGTCTCCCCATTTTAGTCATATTTAGTTTCTAAATTGTCAAACAGGAACTAAAAAAGAGACAAAAGTGGGTTAGTCCTGTAGTCCCTTGAGAGATGGGTTTTTGGGATTACTGGCCCAACTAGACAGCCTATGCCTTTCAATTATTGCCGGTCCTCACCCCTCCTGCAGCATTAAGAGCATCAGCAGTGTATGGAACCAGCCCCGGTTCTATAGCCTGATGTGACTTCAGCTGATAAATTGGCCACAATGTATAGAACCACACTTGATCCTATAAGTGGGGCCCACGTAAATAAAATATCCATCCCTTCGTCTGCAGGAGCACCAACGGCAAGAGAGAGAAGACGATGGGTGATTGCGAAGGAGCGGGTTCGATGCAAAGGACCGGGGTCTCCATCGAATCAGCTTCACAGTGTATCGTACCCGGTTCCATCATCTCATTTATTGTATCGATCCAACTTCGAACCGCACACTGCGGATGCTCTAAAAAGGATATTTTGGTCATTGTCCAGCAGCTTTACGGTCTTTAGTCCCTCGAAACAGACCATTTGGATTGGAGGATTCTTGGAGGAAAAACATAGGATTCAGGTTCTTAGGTGGAAAGTACTGTTCATCCCTTGGAAAAGTGGAGAAAATTTTCCTACGGCGCTGATTTCACGAGAAACCTAAGAGAAGAAAACATCTAGTCCGACATCTTTGTTTCTCTTCCTGTCCCATAGGATCGAGGCAAATTGAGCTCTAACATACTATGCAAAGGCATCATCGGAACCAGATCGCGTGGAGCAGGTGCTTCAGGCGTTGTTCATTGAAGTCGGCCACCCGTAGCCAAATCTCGGCGGCGCATCGCACGTCCGTCCTCCGGCGGCGGCGAAGGTGACGGTGAGGAGCTGCGAGAGTGCTCGAGTCCGTCCTTGTTCACCCTCACGCGACCCACAGCGCTCCAACTTCTCAACCGTGCATGCTAGCTCAAATATCAATCATCCACCATCCAATATAGAAGATACAAATCAAGGGCCAATTACAAGAAGCCGCGCCAAGAAACTACAAGAGCATGTGAATTCATTCCTAACTGATTTTAATTTTAATATTTCTGAAAATATTATACTACCTAAATGTTCTATCTTAATGTTACTTAGGTGCACACATGAAGAGGTGGAGGATACATGGCCTAAGGATACCACTGTGACAGAGAAGGACGATCGGAACCAAGGTTTTCATTATCTGGTCCAGTCTGATAAAAACCGACCTGAGTGATAAACACATACCAAGATTTTCTCATCATCTGTCCCAGTCTGATAAAAACGGACCAATCCGATTAAAACAGACGAGTCTTTCCAGAACAGAATGATGGTATAACTTCCTGTGCAAAATTGTACCATTCTATAACATTTCGTGATGCATAGTGTACATGGATGGAAAGCTTATTGAGTCTACTTTCACACCCAACAAACGGTTCGTCTTTTGGACTTTCCATTAGGGAGTTACAACTCTATTAGGGGAGACTGCTCAGGAGACCAACAGCTGCGCGAAGACTCTTGGAAAACCATTTCGTGGAAGCCTTTTCACATACTCTGTCTTTTCTTTTTCATCTCATGTTCATATCTTCTAGGAAGGTTGTTTCTAGTATAAATATCCCTGTGCTTCTAAGCAAGCGGAGACTTTTGATAATCAGAATACAAACCCTTTGTTCAGCTGTGTGCTAACAAAATCAGAGAGAGATCTCTACCCCTTTGCTCTTGTGTTTTTCTTCACGGAGATTACAGAAGCGACCACGTCATCGGCACCCAATCAGTGCTCCTGGTCCATTGATTCTAGGTTGCGTAGGTTAGTTTCTTTGAGAGTGTGGTTAGACGAATCTTTGGTTCAGGTTGCCGTATAGAGACAGTAGTTGGCTCCTTGTGTGCGTGTCGTCAGGTTGCACTAGTTATCACTGCTTGCAACAAATTATCGGTTGTTCATCGGCTAGTTATCAAGATCAAGAACTGAAGATCGGGGCCTCCACCACGGGATGAGCGGCGTTCATCTGTGGGAGCAGGACTAGCGGCAAGCGAGGAGAGAGAGACGAGATATACATGCTGCTAGAAAGGAGACGGATAATATAACGGTTGGCTTAGAGCTTTTTTATATATAAATATAAATATTGTTCTCTATTTTCCCATTAAAAATAACGTTGTTCTTAGGAGATAATCGTGGTCATTTCTCTAATGAACTAACGCACTGTTGTTTCCTATACTTTCTAATAGGGTTCATCCAAACACCCCATTACACAAGATTCCTATGTTTCTAAATCCTC